CTCACACCCTTGACCAGCTCAGACTCGTCTCCGCCGGGCAAGCTGCCCAGTCCACGCTCTTCCAAGCTCTCGCATGAGACGATGCACACAACCTCGTCCTCTACACACGCGGCGCCATCGAGCGCGCCCAACAATGTCGCCGATACCATCACCCCCATAAACACGCCGCCCGAGACGCGCATCTCCGTCTTCCCAGCCGACGGCGTGCTGGGACAACGCTCCACCTACGACGCACAGCTTGACCCCAAGCTCGATAAAAAGGCGCGAGGAAGGGGAACGGCCAAATACACCACAATACTGGACAAGGTACGTGAAGGTTGCAAATACATACATAGATGTGGTCGCCCTGTGACGCTAAGGCTAACTTAACTTGTGTTACAGGGCGACCCATCTCCTCCTCCCGACCCACGCCTGGCCATTGCCGGCTACACCACTGGCAACTATGTCATCAAGACATCCTTCACGGGCGCTCCCAAATCAAAACTCCGGATAGCGCCATACGTCGCCAAGCCCTACTCTTTTGATCAACGCATATCGTGCGGTCCAGGGCCTGCAACCCAAGTCGTAGTGACGGGCTTCGATCCCTTGACACCAGATGCGCAATTACGTGGTTTCTTCTCCACTTACGGCCAAGTAGAGACGCTCCGCAATCAAGTACATCCCGATAACGGCAGCCCACTTGGGATATGTCTGGTCAAGTTTCGCGACACCCCACCAACGCGCGGAGTACCTGGCATCAAAGCAACCACCTCAGCAAAGCGAGCTGAGCGCGAAGGCACAAATCAGCGCATTGCGCAGCACACGATCAGGGTGAAATCTGATCGCGAGGGCCGGAGATGCCAGAAACTCATGGATATGGCGGTGCAGCAGACCCGGAAAGAGGAGGAGAAGCAGCGTGCCAAGCTCGCAGCGAAGACTGCGAGCGTTGCGGCACCAGCTACACCGGGAACCTTTGATCTGCCGGCAAACGTTCCCAAAGGCCCATCTGGCAAGGGCGCGCGTCCGCCAATCCCGATCCCTCGAGAACCCTTGACAAGGAAAGCCGCACTCTCCTTTCTCATCGAACGCGAACCAGTCAAGCCTACGCTGAAACGAAAGCCTTATATTTTCATCGCACACGCATACGTACCCGTCCTTAGCACAACCGTCGAACATCTCAAGAAGCGGTTAAAGAACTTTCGGTGGGCTTCGGTGCGATGCGACCAGACGGGTTACTATGTAACTTTCGAAGAGTCGAAGCGCGGTGAAGACGAGGCCGTCCGATGTTACAAGGAATGTCACATGCAGGCTCTATTCACTTACGTTATGAACATGGAGTGCAACCAATACGGCGACCCGAACTATGAGCGGAGTCCCAGCCCAGAGCGCGTGGTAGCCGACAAGAAGCGGAAGGCCATCGAAGAGCGGATAGAACATGAAGAGGCGGAAGATCTCGAGTGGGAAAAGAAGCAGCGGGCAGACTCGCTGGATCCTGTACGAGCCGCTTTGGACGTGCTCAAGCAGGAGCTCCAAGAGAAGCTTCTTGGTGACATTAAGACGAAATTGGCCGCGCCCACTATACTGGAACTCCTGGAACCGGATCTTCATGTGGAGAAGCGTCGCAAGTTCAATGTTCCGGCCCCGCCTACGAAGGAAGAGGTTGTTCGACCACCCGCACTTCTCGCCCCAGGATTCGACGCCTTTGGAGCTGGTACACCAAAGGGCCGCAATGGTGGTTTCGGTGGCCGCAACGCACGCAGGTCGCTGGGTGTATTTGATCCTAGCACCAGGCGTGGTAAGAAACCTCCGAAGGTTGTCAATGCATTTGCGGACGAACGAAGGAAGGCATCTGCGCCAAAACCCCGTGTTGCCCGTGGCCTGCATCGCCAGATGATTGAGATGTTCGAGCCGGAAGAGTCGGATGATGAGAGTCGCAGCCAGCTCACTCGCGGTACTGAGGAGCAAGAGAGCCGACCCATCAGCCGTGCTCCTTCCACCGACGTTGAAGAGGAGGTGGAAGAGTCATCGAGAGCTCACCGCGCCAAACGGCGCCGTATCGAAACGGGCTGGGGCGAAGATAGTGACGAGGAGATGGACGACTCGCATGCCAGGAGTTTGCTTGCCCATTGCATTCATAAGGATCCAGAGAACATGGCCGAGAAAGAGCTGGAACAAGTACTCGCAATTCTTCCTCGTTCGTCGCCTATCTGGAAGAAGGCAGACAAAGCACTCAAAGGGTTCAGGAGGTTACGGAAAATTGAGCAAGAGGCTGATGCAATTTTTGGGGTGGAAGCAAGCCCGATTGACAAACTTGAACCTGAAGTCGTCATCACCCATGACGACGAAGCACTCAAGCCCATCGAGACTACTGAACTGCCAGAGACGCTCACGACACTCAAGAAGAAAGCTGCCACCAAGCCCAAGAAGAAGACCAAGAAGCAGCTCGAAGAGGAGGCCAAGGCTGCTAAGGTCGAGGTCACGGAGATCGAGACGCCTGCGGAAGAGGAGATTGCTGAAGCGAAAGAAGTCAAGGAGGTCATCGAAGAGGTCGTGGTTGAGGAGTCGACGCCGGAAGACGACGAGCGGGCCTCTTCTGTGTTCTGGGGCGTGTCCTCTGTTGAACCTCGTAAGACTGTTGAGGATGACCTCAGTGTTGTAATGGACATTGACGGTTGGCAACACATGCTCAAAGACGACGAAGATCTCCGTCACCTCAAGGCTGCCATGGAGTCCATCAGTGCAGCCAAGATTGGCGATGCACAATCCTGGGCATGGAAACAAAAGTCTATCAAGCATCTCAACCGCAATGGCGAGGAGGGTGTCTCGCGTACGGAAACCAAGATCGAAGGCTACTACGTTCCCAACGCGACTGGCTCGGCTCGTACGGAGGGTGTCAAGAAGATTCGCGAGTCTGAAAAGTCGAAGTACCTCCCTCATCGTATCCGCGTCCAGAAGGAGCGCGAAGAGCGCCAGCGCCGCGCTAAGCAAGAAGAGCGAAGTGTCGTCTCTGTTGAAGGCTTCAAGTTCCAGACCAGTTCCAACAAGACATCCACCGCCAATTCGCGTGCCAACCGCGCCAACAACCGTCGCATGGTCAACGATATCAACATATCCAAGAACATGTCCGGCGCTGAAGGCGATGCCCTCCGTTTCAACCAGTTGAAGAAGCGCAAGAAGCTAGTCAAGTTCGACCGTTCCGCCATCCATAACTGGGGTCTTTACGCCCAAGAGCCCATCGCCGTCAACGACATGATTATCGAGTACGTGGGTGAAAAGGTTCGACAACGCGTTGCCGATCTCAGGGAAGCCAAATACGACATGCAAGGTGTCGGATCGAGTTACCTATTCCGCATTGACGAAGACACGGTCATCGACGCAACCAAGATGGGAGGCATTGCAAGATTCATCAATCATTCTTGCACGCCCAACTGCACGGCCAAGATTATTCGCGTCGACAACACGAAGCGCATCGTCATCTACGCGCTGCGGGATATCAACTCTGGTAAGCACAGTTCCTTTTTCCGGACAATCCATGCCACTGAACATCTACTAACAATGTTTCCAGATGAGGAACTCACGTACGACTACAAATTCGAGCGTGAAATGGACGCTACGGACCGTATTCCCTGTCTCTGTGGTTCTATCGGCTGCAAGGGCTTCCTCAACTAGTCAGCTTCGCATGGCTTCAGCTCTGCTTCGGCTCCCTTGGTACATTATCTTTGCGCCGGCTTTCCTTCAACATCACACTTTTGCAGCGCCACATCGCTGCTTCTTTTGTTTCAACACCTACACTTGGCAGGGAGCGAAAAAAAGGCGGCTCCTCCCCATATGCACATGAAGCTAGGCTTCATCTTGGATTCGGGACTGGAAGAAGAGGGAAATCTTGCATTGCATGGCGTTTTTCAGTGGCTACATATTATCACCATCTTCCTGGCACCCCTTTCTTCCTTTGAGAGAAAGGGCGCGAATGTATCATTTTTCTTATCCGACGAAAAGAATGGGCGACGGGTGGGTGGGCGGCACTTGCCCTTGACTTTATCGATGGGTTTGAGTCAGTCGGGTCACATCTTTGGCATTGTATCTGGTGTTTTTGTCGCTTTATCTTTTTTCACTACGCTCAAAATCACCACTTGTACTATTTTAACATCTCTACGAAGAAGAGGCGTCAACGGAAGAGTGGTAGAAAACTCATGGTATGTGTGCGTCTATGTGTCGGCTTTTGTGCCGTATTATCGACACCGGTAGCTATAATCAGTTCGCAAAGGAACAGAATGAGAAGATTGATCATATATCCACTGCCCGTGTTAGATCTTGAGTGAGGTTATACATGGTCTTTTCTCTTGGTACCCCATTCGAACAGTCATCCCAGCTAGCTACCCAACGAGATGACGTGCGGAATGCAGCATCTCAAGGCTCCTCCAGGAGACTACTCCACGGGCCTGTTGCGAAACCGGCGGCTTGGTAGCACAGGCGCGGGTCCCGGGGTCCGAAGGTATGATGGGGGCTTTGAGGTGGCAGGTCAGAGATTTGTATCGCGGTGGTAGTGGGTATGCTTGCTAGGGTCATGGGAGTGGCAGGCAGACTTACAAGAAAGGCCTCTTTGCAGCATTGTCTGGGTGCCCATACGCTTCATTTCTAAGCGGTGCATGTGTATTAGCGTCTATCGTGTTACGATCCGACATGAAACCCTGGAGGCAAACCAGTGATCAAAGGAGATGGCGTGGCAGCGCCGAGGGGTGGTTGAGAGCTGACGTGACGGCTATTGCACGTATCAGACCCTTAAAAGGGGGACAAAGAGACCGGGGAAGCTTACTCGGAAGATGCGGTGTCCATATCGTGACCCTGACTGTATGCGGACTGCATCCATATATCTTTGGGTGCGTTGGATAACTGACCGAAGACTCTATCCCTGAGGAAAGAATTAGTACTTGTGTATGAGCAGTTCTTCAACTCAGGGGTTTCCGTGTACGTTTGTAATTTAGTTAGGAGAAACACATGTGTGAAGAGTATCTTTGTGGGCACTACAAGGAAGTTGGAACGAGCCTTGGATGTGTTTGATGGATCAGGTCCTTACTTTCGCCCATGTCGGCAAATCTAAAGGCTCCGATATCACAGGCGTTCTTTTCAGTAAAAAGGTCGTCTCGTGGATCTGAAAGACGCTCCTTCAGGGTGTTTAGCACGGCCTTCCATCGTCGTGAACCCCGACTAATATCTCTTGGGTATGCATACCAGACCTTTCTGTGCAAACGCATATGTTTGCTCTCGCCGTGTTGGGAACGAATGAATGAAATGCATACATACCATGGATCAATACGCTCCTCCCTCTTTTGCTTTCTCAAGATATTCAGAATGACGGCAGCCTCTTTTATAGCAAAGTGATCGGCAATGTGCTGCAGATGCTTCAGACTCCAATCGACAGCAGATTGTGGACAGCTTTTTGACCAAGCAACAACGTATAGGCTGAATATCAGTATGTAGACATCGAGGATATGCGGTATGCTGTGTGAATGCTGTTTACCCGTGCTTCCACTAGGCAGCTTATCCTTTGCGACTAGGTCACAGTCCGTCATCTGAGGAACCGATGCGACGATCTCCTGGATAAGGGCCAAGATGGCAGTATTTGCTCGATCACACTGAGCGGCAACTTCAGGATCACAGCTCTCGGAACAGGACTGGATGATCTCCTCGCAGAGAAGTATTCGTGCTATGCGAAGCACGTTCCACATCTGGGTGATCATGCGATCGGGGTAGACGTCGTATACCCTTGGGAATCCGTCGGGTACCAGTCTTACTCCATCGGAATCAGATAAGCTTTTGCGTTCATACGTCCAAGCCGGGCTCGCTTCAAGTGCAACAATCTCGAGCTTTCGATCAAAGTACTCGCTCTTCGTTATCCTTTCTTCCGCCGTCATACAGCCCTTGCGCATTTCTGCGGCTAGATCAGTTATGTCAAGCATCAACCCGCTGAGCTTCCACTTCGGATAGTCAGTATTGACGAATTGTGCTGCGTGTACTCGTATTTGTCGTATGGAAGGATCCACCACTCGCCCGGTGCTCAATGAGCATATCGTCGCGTTCAGGGAAAGTCCCATCAATGCCCGCATCTCAGTGCCTTCCTTGAACGACTCTACACCTCGCAGTTTGACTAATGTGAGAGCGCCCTCGATATGGGCGTGTCCTGATGTGTTGATCTCCAAGGCCGACTTCATGATCTTCTCAAAGAGATCCAGCAACAACGCGCCTTCGAAAGTGGATGCCGCTTTTGCTGTCGTGGGATTCTGCAGGGCGATGTTGATCTCTCGTAGTGCTTGACAATACTTTCTGCGTCCTAGATCTCTTGCAGTCTCAGAAGAAACCTGATGGGACAAGAAGGCGAGACTGACCGCCTCGATGCTCAGAGTAAGATATTTGGGCGCGGATCTTGGGTCTAGATAGTTGTATAGGAAGTCCCATGTGCGACTGAAATCGGAGACGTAGTACGTGAAGAACATGTCTCTACCCAGGGTCAAAAGGTCTTGGGGTAGATGTCGAACCTTAAGCTTGACTTTGGGTTCGCCAACACATCGTTGCTTCAGTGGGGACCCTGTCTGTGCCAGAGCCTTCGTCCGTACAAACTCGGTCTGGTCGCTGATCCGAATATTGATCGTGTCGCGATAGCCGGTGCATGCTGCTCCCACTCGAATGCAAGAGTTGCAACTTGGCCGTTGCAGATCACACTGGATGTGTCAGTAAGGAATCCCAACTTTGGATTGGAGGCATACTCGTAGTCTTCTCTCTCTACATCTTTTGCAAAACTTGGATGGTTTGCCGCGGAACACCATCAGATTCTCTGCAGCGTGAATGGGTTGTCAATCTGTGGGCCTGTTGAGCCTGAATTGATACTAGAAGAAATAAAGTGTAGAATCAATCTAATTGACAAGTCTCATTTTACCAAGCAGATGAAAGTGGTTGTGTGGTGTATGGGGCTGCCGGCAGCATATAGATGACTGGAAGCTGACTGCCGTACTAGTCCCAAGAAGGAATGCATTTCGTGCTGCGTCCACTAGCGCGATGTAAGCATGAAGGACGATTGCCAGCCAGTCGCGTAGGGGGTAGATGTTGCATTCCGAGGTCTGGCCTATCATCTAATAGTCTGGACTTATTGATGAAAAGCCTCTAGAGGTCAGCAACGTTCCACAGCCGCGTAACTACAAGCTCCATCCAATGACCAAAGCGTAGATGCGTCGTATGCGCTGCTCAACCTGACATCGTAAATCGCTTTGGCCGCTGCCTAGATCATCGTGCATTGGATTCACAAAGAAGTGAGGTGGATGGGCAGAAGTCATGGCATACGATAAGACTTATGTCGCGCCTTCCACCTCCAAACCAGGTCCTATCCTTACCTACACCTCGAGGGCGAGCTATACATGCATCGCAACACAGAGCACATATTGGACGCATCGCAGGTTCCGTAAAATTTGGAAGGGAAGATAGAGGTGCATTCCATGCTTGCAGTCGATCTGCATCTTTGATGAACAACGAAGCCTAATCGCTATCGTCGTATTTATTTCCAACCCCGACATCACCTAGTAATATATCATCAGGCGCCGGGCCCCTGTGATTCCTCACCCACTCTGTCTCTACGCGGAAGAAGATCCATATCCATCTCCGCAATACCTCGAGAACTTCCATTGTAAAGATGCCCCCTTCCAAATCGTTGAAATGATCCAGATGCACACTGAGTTTCAGACTCCAAGTGCACCTCAGCATTGCGTCCACTGCAATCGCTGCATAGTAGAATTCTTTGGCATGGAACCAGCGATGCCGTCTTAGACCCCGTGGGTATTCTGGGCTATCCCGAGTACGGGCATTAGAGAAGAGGGTAAGATCCCAATCCTTGGCTACGTCCCAGTAGAAAGAGTAGCCAGAGTTTACCACCACTGCGACGAGCCACATACGGAACAACGTCGCTTCCGAAACACCAAAACGTGAAGGATCAGGCGAGCGTTGCAGAGCACTCAGTATGATGACAGGAAATGCGGTCGAGTATTTCAGTGCGTTGGCCAGATGCTGGCCACCCCATCCTGTCGCTGGGCTGATCTGCCCGGTTTGCTTGTTCGCCTTCTGAACACGGTAGTATTCCGTGATACACTGCCGCAATCGAATCATCGAGGGTATGGCAATGATGAAGGGAACCCAAAACACGCCGCCGCAACTCCTGTTCGGGGGCCCTGTTGAGCTGTGCGACGACGAGAAGAACATGCACAGTGAGACAAATAGATCGCCCAGCACCTTCGCATAACTCGTCAACGCATCGGCGAGCAGAATGTCTCCAAACTTTCCGTCTTGTGCTTCTGCGATGCCGCCGATCGATATGCGCTTCAGCGTCGCCAGTGTACGAGTCCGTCCATTGCGACTAACAAATGGCAGCGGTATGACGAAGCCAATAACTAGTACCAAGAGGTATAGGTTTGGCAGAATTTCCCAAGCGGCAATGTCTGTAGGGCTGCCGTGCGTAAGGGTCCAGAATAGGAGCAGCGAGAGGGCGAGCGGGATAGAGAGGAAGGTTGCGATGCGGTAGCAGGAGAGGTGGTGCGGGATATGGCGGGGTGAGGTACGGCCCGGGTAGCGGATCAGACTCGGGACGTCTATCTTTATGAGGGTGAGGTAGTGGAGGTTTAGACCCCAGGCCCAGATGCCTGTGCGGCAGTTAGTAAGGTGGTTGAGAGCAGACGGCGTGAGCGTTTGCATACCCAGGACTATTATAAGAGCGACGCGATACGGCAGGGGCAGCACGCGACTGAAGCCATCGATTTCTGGCTCGACGGCGGGATCACCGTCCATTTCTCGAATGCGCGCTCGGTTCCGTGGCGGTTGCTGTGTCCCAGCCTGTAGTCTGCCGTATGATCATGAAGCTCCTCGATGTAAAAGACACCCCCAATCGGACCCTCTCTTCACAGCTATCTCCGGTCGTGTTGGCGCAAGGGGTTGCAGATGTCGCGATAGCGTGTCCACTTCCCCAAGGCGATGGCACCAAACACGCTAGCTAATTTACAAGCCACTCTTCAGCCGCCGCTGCGTTACGTCAGCATAAGCTTCAGCCTCACGCGCGCTAGCTGCATCGTGCCTGGCGGAGTGGATCTTTGGTTTGTGCGACGACCGCGGGAGCTTTGCCTAAAGCACAAGGCCATGACGCGATCATCGCGACGACAAAGTGACGCTTCTCCGCCGTATGCTATTGGGTACCTGACTTTGGAGGGAAAACAACGCCTAGATCTCTAAGCTCGCTGCACTACTTGCTTCTTCTCCACATACCAAGGTTTCCATTAACTGTCCTTACTTCGTGCGTCACACCACCCAGCACGACACACAGCACCTTCCACTTCATCTCTGTCGCTCTAAACCTCCACCCTCACCTCCTCCCACTCCCACCTCGTCAATTGAAGGGAGACAGCAGGACCAACAGCAATCATGTCGCCTCTCTCTGTTCCTAAAATTTTCATGGCTGGCGGCGCCGTCGGCTTCGGCTACTACCTCTTCATGCGCCAATACTGGTTCCCCAACCCGTACAAGACACAGGGCGTCCAGAACATTGAGGATCGCTTCTCAGCTGGCGGAGGCCACCCTACGCACACACCTGCTGGAGGAACCCAGCGCGGTACGGGTATAATGAGCTCCCCAGACTTAAAACCCTGGAAGTATATAGAACGGAGTTTGCTGACATCAAGCTTGTAGGCTCTGCGTCCGCAAACGAAGGAAGGCACGACGGCCCGAGCAAGGGCCCAGACTCGGAGCACTTCAAGAAGAACATCAGCGACCAGCAGAGTGAGGTATGTGGCACGCTGATTTCGATGCCCAAGGACTGTGCTAACGTGCGATAGCCTGTCTGGCCGAGCAAATTCAACGAGATACAATACAACAACCCCAAGGGCAAATAAGCGACTCCGGACCAATCGAGCAGACACAAAAAAGCATGGCAATATACAGCCAGGGGGCATTGGGCATCTGATGAATGACATCATTGGCGTTTGGCAGATAGCGATGCACGATAGCATCCTGTAGATTTTTGAAACCCTCACTGTTGCGGCCAGTCGAGCGCAATGAGGCCCCCAGATGATCGAGAAATAACAAAACCAATTTTCCAAGGAGCGCCCAATGCCGTGTCGATGTCAGCAACTCTCGGTACCTGATGAAGTCCATACTGTTCCGCGTAGCTGTGGAAGTGGAACTACACATGCCGGGATCATATTGACGAATAAGCAACGTCACACCGCAACAAAATGAACCGAGGTAATGCAGCGGAGGAATTCAGCAAGACAGTGTTCACACGCGCTGGCTTTTTCGAAAAGTGCGACGTATAGAAATGCCGGTGATTATGTACGAAACAATCCAAGGCCTAGATCTTCGCATTGCCCGTTTTCCTTGCGGCTGTGTTCCTAGCAGCATCCAACACAAATGCTACATGATGGCTCAAAGCCACCAGATCGCCGTCAGCATCGTGCACCCACACTTCCAAGTCCATCCTACCGTTCGCCACCTTCTTCATACCTGCCCTAACCTGCAGCCACTTGACCCCCTGCGGCGGCAGCGCTTTCTTGATGTCCAGATTCAGTAGGAGGGTTGGATACCAAAAGGGTCCCTCTCCTTCGCCCTTGATTGACTCAACCATCAGCGGGAACATGTCTGCGACAAAGCCGACCGAGGAATCCGTGAAGTTTGTCCCATCAGAGAAGCAGATCCACTCATCAGCGAGATGCTTTAGGCTTCGTCCTTCCCGAGGGAAATAAAACTTCACCCTCTTCGTCGCTTTTCGGAAGTTGGCGTGCGGCAATTCTGGTTGGAGCCTCCAGTTTGTATCTTCATCATTTTCCAGCTTTGTCAGGTCGACTGACGGGACGGGCGGTGAAAGCTTGTATCCGATATCTTGGGTGAAGCCCTTTTCCGCATCCATGTTGGAGTTTGTGACGTACGCGACGACTTCCTGTCGGCCGTCTTGCTCCATGGTCACATGTACGATAGACGTTTGGCGACCAAGTTTAACATCGTCGACTTTGTATGTTGCGGGCCCGGCTTGGGTCCGTCTCAGGAACTCAATGTGGAGAGCTATGGTGTGTGGCTGGTTCTGCTTCGCCAAAGTTGTGCTGAAATGTGTTTTGACTACCTCCAGTATGCTAAGAAGTCGAGATGTGGTTAGTCAAGAGTGTGAAGCAAAACGCGATGGGTCTTACCATCCTGTAACGTAGCCACCATTAGGAACTGTTGCCGTTAGTAAAAGCGGATGATGTTATCTCTGCTGGGGTCTAAAATACCGCTTCCGATGCTCCAATCATCGTGTAGTGTACATGAGTACGTGTTGGAGGACAGTTTCTGTACTGCAGTAGCTTCTTCCCAACTCGGCATCTCGATAAACTAATAGTGCGAAACTTTCGTGTGTTTGGAGAACTAATAGGTCTATATGGCCAGGCTATCGATGTTCGAGGTTGTCGCAATGCCGTTGACCTCGGGAGGCCAT